CATAATTATTTGTGTGAACATACAAATAATTTGTGTGTAAATATGTGATTTGTAAATGTAAAACAACATCCATAAATGCATTTAAAAGATTTGCAAACTCACAAATAAATTTGCAAATGTAAAACGGATCTGCATAATACGCAAAATATTTTTACAAATACACACTTACAAATGATACTTTCGATCAGGCATTTGTGAATCCATTTTGTATTTGTCGACCAAAAATGCGCTTGTGGATCTCACATTTCTTGATTTGTATTTAATGTTATTATGTTTATACTTGTTTCCACATATTTCACAATTTGGGATGAATGAACTATCTATCTATCTATCTATTGGGACTACGGATGGAAATTAGCTCAAAGCTCAAATCCGGCATGTTTACGTTTTAAAGCATTATTTGTTTTGTTCATCAATATGCATTGTCCCTCTTCAAATAAACGATTAAATAAAAAATCTACCTACCTACCTACCTACCTACCTACCTACCTACCTACCTACCTACCTACCTACCTACCTACCTACCTACCTACCTACCTACCTACCTACCTACCTACCTACCTACCTACCTACCTACCTACCTACCTACAGATAGATAGATAGATACTTCATTCATCCCAAATTGTGATATGTGTGGAAACAAGTATAAACATAATAACATTAAATACAAATGAAAGCAATAGAAAGGAATATATGCATTTACATTAAAAAGGACACGATGAATATTATAACATTTAATGTAGCCTTACTATGAAGGCTAACCTAAATACGGTGCTTTTCTACAGATTACTTTACCACTGCACTGCTAAGGTAAAACTAGGCCGATTAATAAGATGTGAAGTGCTTTGTAACTTTGACCCGCTTGACTGAATACACAAAAAACAATGAAGAAAGTTAAACTAATAAACTAACACAAACTAACTGTATCACTATAACATGATGATGATGATGATGATGATGATGATGATGATGATGATGATGATGATGATGATGATGATGATGATGATGATGATGATGATGATGATGGTGATAAAGAATGCATCTAACGTTCCGCTGGTCATTAAAAAAACAGCGCATTAAACAAATCATCATGCTCTTACTTTGAAAACCATGCGGACATGTCGTCATCAGCAGGCTATCACGTGGTTTCCGAAAATAACCGATTGACACGAGTAGATTTTAGCCGAGACCGGGGGAAAGTTTGTCTCAAAACTCTGTGTGTGTAAAAAGACGATCCACGAGCAGAGATTTGAGATCCACAAGCGCATTTTTGGTCGACAAATACAAAATGGATTCACAAATGCCTGATCGAAAGTTGTAAATGTTAAAGAGATATTCACAGATCTTTTTTTTATTTGTAAAAATAGTTTGCGCATTTGCAGATCCGTTTTACATTTGCAAATTTATTTGTGTGTTTGCAAATCTTTTAAATGCATTTGTGGATGTTGTTTTACATTTACAAATCACATATTTACACACAAATTATTTGTATGTTCACACAAATAATTATGAGACATATCTAAGCCCATACAATTCCGTGTGGACGGAAGACTTTTTTTAAAATCGACTTCGGTTCGAAATCGGTTTTGTCTCCGTATGGACGGGGCCTAAAACAGCCATCATTATAAAGACAGAGGTTACTTACGATTATAAAGACCCCGCATCCAGTCTAGTTTTGTCCAGTTTAAACACAGCCAGGATTCCAGTTATAATACAATATATAAAGTATAATAATTCATAAAATAAAGCTTGGAAAATGCAGTGTTGTTTAAGTTTTGTCGGAATGTACATCTCTGGAAACTGTCATGACATCTACTGAACACAGGATCAGTGCACTCAGTCTCTTATTTCCACACCGCCTTCAGTAATACTCATGAGCATGCAGTCTTTCTCCATGTCCTTCGACAAGTCTCTAACACCACTGGCCCTTGTCAACATTTAAACATTCAACATTGAAACTGGAGTTGCATACCATTCCTATTAGCCAGGGCCGTTTCTTCCTATATGCGGACTATGCGGGGGCATAGGGCCCCCGCGGCCACTAGGGGGCCCCCAAGCTGAAAGTATTTTGTTGTTGTTGTTGTTGTATTCATCCGAAAAACAAAAAAAGTTTAATTCATACACACAAAGATGAACAAAATTAGTAGAAGCGGGAGGGCTGAAGCATAGCTTGTGGAAAGTAGCCCTCCCGTGCATCATTCTAATACAGCGGCATTATTGCGTCAAAAATGTATAGAAATGAAGGAGTACAAAAAAGTAAAGAAAACAGGAGAAAAAATTAAATAAAAGTTAGGGCAGGTAAACAATAAATGCATATATATATATATATATACGAAAACTAGATATAGGGTCATTTTCTGCACATGTCAATAGCAGTTTCAACTATCTTTTTTTGGAAATTAAAATACTATATATAAATATATACATAGGTACACATGCACTTGGCAAATGAATAATAATAATAATATATGCATAATTGCATATAAACATTGTGAACACTTATTTTCAAGTGACTTTTTTTACATTCATATGTCCACGCTGTGGTTTGGAACTGCTTTTGAATGTTATTAGGCATTTTGTTATGGAAAATGTTGTGCATAATCAGTACTGTTTTAAGCTCAACACATTTTAATAGATTGAGTGTTTTAAAATATGGGAGTTGTGTGTTCATATTTACCAACACCACAGACTATTCGTAATACTTTTTTTTGGGATGTTATTATTTTTTGTAGATTTGTTGAGTAAGTGTTTCCCCATATTTCGGAGCAGTATTAAAGGTAAGGGAGAAATAGACTGTTATAAAGAATATATTTTCTTCAAGAATGTTCTTAGTATGATACAAAATACCTATTGTTTTTGACAGTTTAGTCTGTACATAATTTATATAGTGCTTCCAATTGAGTTTTTCGTCAACAAGCAGTCCTAAAAATGTACATGCACCAACTTGTTCTATCTCTGTATTGCAAATCCGTATAATGCAGTCATTTCTACTCTCAGACTTTGTATTGAATAACATGTCATTTGTTTTGTCCACATTAAGGGATAATTTATTAACTGCAAACCAGTTACATAGTATTTTTAATTCTGCATTAACAATTTTAACAAGATCGCCAAGATTATGATGGGAGCAGAGAATTCAAAGTTCAGGTTCAGCCTCAATATATTTGGGGAGAATTCAAATGAGCCGTCTTTATTTGTAGACAGCCAAGCCCCCTCCTGTGAGTGTTCGGTGAAGCATTATATGCTTACAAATCCAATGTAGGATATAAACATGACTAAACTGCAATGGGAGGAACAATGCGGATTCCGTCCTGGTCCTGGAACGACGGATTAGCTTTTTACTCTCGCAAGGATCCTGGAGGGGGCCTGGGAGTACGCTTATCCGGTTTACATGTGTTTTGTAGACTTGGAGAAGGCGTATGACCGAGTTCCCAGGGAGTTACTGTGGGAGGTGCTGCAGGAGTATGGGGTGAGGGGGTCTCTACTCAGGGCCATCCAATCTCTGTACTCCCAAAGCGAGAGCTGTAAGTCGGACCCATTTCCGGTGAGGGTTGGCCTCCGCCAGGGCTGCGCTTTGTCACCAATCCTGTTTGTAATATACATGGATCGGATTTCGAGGCGTAGTCATGGGGGAGGGGGTCTGCAGTTCGGTGGACTAAGGATTGCACCACTGCTTTTTGCAGATGATGTGGTTCTAATGGCTTCATCGGTCTGCGACCTTCAGCACTCACTGGATCGGTTCGCAACCGAGTGTGAAGCGGCTGGGATGAAGATCAGCACCTCCAAATCTGAGGCCATGGTTCTCAGCAGGAAACCGATGGACTGTCCACTCCAAGTCGGGAATGAGTCCTTACCCCAAGTGAAAGAGTTCAAGTATCTCGGGGTCTTGTTCTCGAGTGAGGGAACAATGGAGCATGAGATGGGCCGGAGAATCGGAGCAGCGGGAGCGGTACTGCAGTCGCTTTACCGCACCGTTGTGACGAAAAGGGAGCTGAGCCAGAAGGCAAAGCTCTCTGTCTACTGGGCCATTTTCGTTCCTACCCTCACCTACAGTATGGTCATGAAGGATGGGTCATGACCGAAAGAACGAGATCGCGGATACAAGCGGCCGAGATGGGTTTTCTCCGCAGGGTGGCTGGTGTCTCCCTTAGGGATAAGGTGAGAAGTTCGGTTATCAGGGAGGGACTCGGAGTTGAGCCGCTCCTCCTTCGCGTCGAAAGGAGCCAGTTGAGGTGGTTCGGGCACCTAGTTAGGATGCCACCTGGGCGCCTCCCTAGGGAGGTGTTCCAGGCACGTCCAGCTGGGAAGAGACCAAGGGGTAGACCTAGGACCAGGTGGAGGGATTATATCTCTTCGCTGGCCTGGGAGCGCCTTGGGATCCCCCAGTCAGAGCTGGTTGATGTCGCCAGGGAAAATAAAGTTTGGGGCTCTCTGCTGGAACTGCTACCCCCGCGACCCGACCACGGATAAGCGGGAGAAGATGGATGGATGGATGGATAAACTGCAATGATAGCAAAGCTGTGGCTTGGGTTTTTGGGGTAATAAAGTCCAAATCATTGTTGGGCTGACAGCTGAGAAAATGCTGCATCTCTTGCATTTATTGACATAGAGGAGCCTTATTGTTTACCTTTTTAATATCATTTTTTGTAATTTTCAATTGCTTGGTTTTCGTGAAATTAGCCTGTTTTCCTCAGGTGTAACAGATTGATGCATCTCCACAGATCATCTTAAAGGCTTCGGAATCCCCTCCATTGTAGTTAAAAAACTGTCAAAACTAGGGCCCCCAAACAGCATCTTGCATAGGGCCCCCAAAAAGCTAGAAACGGCCCTGCTATTAGCCATTTACTTATTACTTCCTTTTTGGCTTCGGATCGCCCAAAATATATTCAGAAGTTTATCTAAAGCTAATGATAATCTGTAACAGAAGTGTGAGTTAGACACAAGAAGTGAGTATCTATAACAAATATATTTGATTTATTTATGTTGAATTGAACATATCTACAGAGCAATGGAAGGCAGGTCATTTATAGCACATTTCAACAACAAGGTAATTGAAAGTTACAAAATAAAACAATTATAACAGCATCAACACATACTGCTAAAGAAACTCAACCTAGAAAGTTTCACACAGACCAAATATGTATTAAATCACAGTAGGTTACTAAAAGTATGAAAGACAACTTTTCTTAAAATTCATTTAATATTTTGTATGAATTTTGGCTACAAACATCAAGGCTACATACTAAAGCCTGGAGGCATGCTGACTCAGCTTCAAGATGGTACCCAGTATCCTGCGGTTCATTGAACCTACATGCTGTGTTATGGTGTTTTGCTGCCCAGAAATAACGTAAGGGGTTTGAAAAGAGCGAGACTCCCCCCTCAAATTTTCAGTTGTTTTGTAGAATATCTTCAATTAGATAACACAACATAAATTAATCTGACCATAGAAAACATAAAACACAAAAGACCTATCAGACAACAACCCAAAATCAAACATCTTCTTCTCCATAGGTCTGTCTCTTTGACTTGATTTTCTAAGATCTTCACCTGCCCTTCAAGATATATAATTCTAGCAGCCATGGTCCAATCCCTCCATGACCTGATGGCAAATAGGATGCAGATACACCCCAGGCACATAACCCTAAACACCATGGTTTTTGTGTCGATACTGTGGTCGTTGAGGATTATTCCGAAACAGGCCAAAGCCAATGCCACTTTCAGCAGCCACCACAGTTTTCTCAGAAAGAAGGTGAACATTACAAAGGCAAGGGCGATCACCGCGTAGCATATGAGAAGCAGAAGAACCCACTGGACGACAAAGAAGACCCCATCTGGTGTCACTGGGTTTACAGGAAGGTCAACTGTGGAGCCATAGGAGATCATCACATCATTACAGGGAATTAAAACAATTATTTCAGATGAAGCTCAAAGATGATTGATATTTGCAATGAATCAAAAACCAACATCTACCGACATGCTATTAACCTGGAGGTTTATGGCCCTGGGACGGTTATCAAATATGTCATGTTCCTGATACAAAGGTATAAAGCACCCACTTCAAACACTATCAGCTGATTAAATGGCCGTTATTAAAAGGCTGTGGGAGCATAAGAAACAATAAGTCAAACACTGTTCATCCCGGATACCAGTGTTTGTTTACTGTGTGAAACCAAAAGTTCATGCTGACTGACTGACATTGCTTATGTGAACAAAGTTAGGCAACACATGTAATTCACCTGATTGGAAGTTATGTTAGGTACCAAATGTAGGAATACATATTTATTGCAAACCATTATCTCTTCTTACCATGTAGATTTGGCAATACAACTGTGACTCTTTCATAAAGTTTCATATTCAATTTCTGGCTCACTGGTGGGTGAAGTATGCATTTTCTGAAGCATTGAGGTGGTACAAGTGATCCCTACCATTAGAACCAGGTGCATAATATGTTTTGAATAGCTTATGTTGCGCATCTACCCAAATGCAGCTCAAACTTAAAGGGGCTCTATTATGCTAGTATTCAGGTTCATAATTGTATGTTGTGCCTCTACTGTGACATGTTTACCTGCTTTAGTGTTAAAAAGTTTTTTTCTGAGCCTATCATGTACAATGAGCACTAGCCAATAGAGGTATGAAGTAAACAAAGGACAATCAAGGCTTTTCAGGTATGGTGCGGAGTGTGTGGGAGAGAAACTCCCTCTGGAGGGAACTTTGCGATTTTAGCCTTTTCAGACCATTTACATGCACAAAAACCTTAAGAAAACACTTCTGGAAGGGAAACCCAATAAAGCAGAATAGGGCCGCCTTTACGTTAACTTGAAGTCTCTAAAGTCAATTAAGACTATTAGCAACCTGTGAGAGGTGGAAATACAATTGTATTTTCACCACAGAGATGTAATCTTAATCCCCTCAACCAAATGGAGCTGTTGGCATGTAGTAGATCACAATAGGACTGACTGTGCAGCTAAAAGGACTGCCATGCAGGGCCTTATATAATATTACATTGTTACATAACTATGACATATATATTAATGAAACATATATAATGTCCAATTTTTGTGTCTCTTGGGATTATTGTCATTTTAAACCACAATGGTACAAAAGTTGATTTGCAAAACATGTACTTTACCCGTTTTACACTGAGAAATAATCTCATTGGAATTCATTCAAATAAATTACATTATACTTTAAAGGATTTGTTTTACCTTTGATTCCAGTAGCATGCAGGAAGTCTGTTACATACTGTAAGGGCGCGTTCAGGCCATTGGCCAAACTTCCTGCAACAGCATCCAGAAACCAGTAGAAAGCCTGGGGTGTTTGGTGCATGGATACAAAAACTTGATTTAATGGAGTTGTCTGAACCAGGAAGTAGCCACTCAACATTGCTAATCTTTTCACTTACCTTTTACACTGACATAGCAGGATGTACCAAGACTATACAAATACAATACCATGTGTGTATGTAGGGACAATAAAGCACAACAGACTGACATATATTTCCACATTCTATGAAAAATATATCATTAATAATAGTGTGTAATAGTTTGACCTTACCTAGACACAATGAAACAAACATTGTTTTATACCATTAAATCTCAGTTGGAACTAAGTTAAAAACCAGATTTATTTGCTACCTATATTTTAAAAGTTTATCCAAGATACAAGTTTTTGATCCAATACATTAAATAGTTTAGAATACCTGCAAAAGCAATCATATTCTGCATAAATATTAGCCTATTTCTATCTCTTACCTGTTTCTGGGAGAGCCACAACTGCTCTCTTTTCTCCTCTTCTGCCTCCTGGTCTGTGAAAAAATATGAAATCATTGCAGCTAAACCTAAGACGAAAGCCATGATAAACAATTCTGCTATTTGTTTATCACTTGGAACCTCGTAAGTAGCCATTATGATCAAAATAACTGTTTCTAAAACATATATGACGAGATATTCCTCTGAGTACAAAAGTAATAAAGCACACAGGCTGAATTGGAAAGTTTTCCTTGTGTTGGCAACCTTACTAAAGAGAGGCGTATGCCATGTCTTTATTGCCAAAACCCAGTGACTCATTGATGTGATATTTCCCGACCGATACTCAGCTGGCCAATAATAAAACCACACATCGGATTATCACAAATATAATGTATCCACATACTCTCTATGCCGGCAGGTATATAATTGATTATGAGTTTTTGAACTTTTTATGTAAACCTGTTTTTCAGACAGTTGAAGAACTTAATAAGTAAAAGATCAAAGTTTAGTTGATGTTGTGTCACAACATGTGAGAGCAAATAATGACACAGTGATGAACTGCCCCAAGGGAAGGAGCTGAGCAGGGTAGAAATGTGATCAGAGACTGGTTTCATTCAATCAGTCACATTAATTCTAGTAAATAGATCTATAAAAATAAGGGCTGCAGTTTATATGAGTTCTCACTCTGCAGGCACCTCACACCATAGAGGGAAACAACATATCTATCAACTCCCCCCAATGAGTAATTCAAATATACTCCGCAGTCTATCTGACATGCAGGACAAGTTAAGACGCAGTAAAAGAAGTGCAGAGAGAAGAGGAAAAATAAAACCACAAAGTCTGTGCAGTAATATGTTGCGTGGGAGAGTCCCTGTCAGGTCACTCAGCTGAGAGAAACATATCATGGAAGCACGTGGTTCTAAAAGTATCCACTAGTAGGCTTATTACGGTAGAATAGGTTAGACCTAGGGGTACTCAAACTTTTTTGTTAAAGGTCCACTTGTGAATTTTATACAAGGTCAATGGTCCGGATCAATGCCAGTAAAGTCTGTAACCAATGCCTTGAACCTCGGCAAAAATGACATTAGAAGCATTAGAAAGTCAAGGTAAACTTGCGGTTAACTTGCGGTCTGCAATGTGTGTCACGCTCGCGCACACAAGTAAATATATATGCACGTTCATTCTCACAACGCGTCAGACACAAGAAAATATACATTAAAGGGGACCTATCATGCAAAATGCACTTTGTGATGTCTTTTATACATAAATATGTGTCCCCGGTGTTATGGAAATAATTATCATAAGACGCCAATTTGTAACATACAGGACAAACCTCGATGTCTGTTTACCTTCTTTAAGGACACAGGCGGCTTAGCCAATAATGTTATTGTTCCCATTCTGTGACCGGTCAATACTGGGATACAGATGGTCTGTGTTGTGGGTACACTGGGACACTTCCTTCTCTGTATTTGTGGACTCCAAGGTAAAATCTTCGAGGTCATAAGTGTCCGAGGCAAGTAGCTCTGTGTTCCCACACTGTTTAGGCTATCTCCTCAAATATGTTGTTTACTCTCTGCGAAACCAGTTAGATGGGCTGGCAAGAGAGAGGCTCTCCAGAATTGACGTGGCAACTCTACCGTGGAGTCAGAACCTCTGACTCTTGGATTTGTGATGTGAATACTCTGGTACCAACTCCAAATAAATCACAGTGGTTTGACATCAAAGCTCCGACTCTTCCCGTGTCTCCTTCCTGAGTCGGTGACTCCACTGCATGCTACACAGAAGTTTCCTCTACACCCGGTATGTCGGGGAACTCACGCAGCGTCAGAAAATAAAACCCTCTCTCTTTTCCTCCGTACCCAAATCTTTTAAAAACAGGGGTACAACGAGCGGATACAGATTTGCTGCCAATCTGACATCGGCAGCGGACCCACAGAAAATTGCTATCAGAAACAATGCCTGACGTGTTTTGGGCGTAATCTTGTCTTTGTTTACATTAGCAGGCCTCGCTAACACTCAGAGCTAACCTGTACTGGAGAGCACATGTGTTTAAAAAGCAGGAAATAAAAAAGGAACTCACCTTGTGATAAACCTGCAAGAGAAAAAGCATTTGAGCTCCGTACTGTTTCAGAAATAATCCTTGATGTGGTTTAGAACAGGATGGCGTTTTATCACAGCAGAATTTAACTTTATGTAACCGCGGCCGCGCACACGGCCTAAAGTGTAGCTGTTCTACTGATCAAAGTTGCCCTCTGACTCAACTTGATCAAACAGAAAAAACTCCACAGATTCAATTTAAAGAAAACACGATACAGTTGGCAGTCAACAACAAGGCTTAAGACAAGGATTTTCTCCCAAGAGTATGACATTTATTATCAAATAGACACATTTACAAACAATATTTTAACCAGTAAAAAACAACAACAATTTATTAGGAATTCATCTACTATGCTATTTAAAATGGTATCCAGCGTATAAAAACCGACTAAATGAGCGCAGACAGTTACTGTTGGGAGGGGGAAACAAGCAGGTCAAATCTGAATAGGCTACTACTCACCGCCACCCTCACGTGCACTTCACTGCCTCTTAAATGTGTGTGTGTGTTTAGTTAATTTTGCACTTTTCTTAATTTATCACTTTCTTTTCAGTTGCTGTGTCTGTACAGGGCACGTGTGAGTGGCGGTGAGTAGTATTCAGATTTGACCTGCTTGTTTCCCCCTCCCAACAGTAACTGTCTGCGCTCATTTAGTCGGTTTTTATACGCTTTATACCAGACTGCTGGGTAGCCTGGAAAAAAGGTCGGCCTCTTCAGCCAAGGCACGGGGCTCCGTAATGGACGTGTTGGCTAGCGCCGTCTGAACCCGGGAAGGCAAGTGGCGCATTAACTATGCCATGAATTAATGCTTGACAAGTCTGCAGATAAGACGGCAGGCGAAAAACCTTTTAAAATGCTTTTTTTCTGAATGGAGATCGGGTCGACCAAGCTAACGTTGTATATACTCCGTCCACACTCACAACAACAGCCTACAGACATACATAAACCAGCGACTGTATTCGCCATGACACAGAAAGTCTGTGGTTTGTACTTGTTTAACTTTTGTCCCGTTTCTGAACAGATATGAGGAGCTGTGAGCTCTGTGTGCTAACAGCTAACGGCTGATGTTTTCTGGTTGAACGTCAGTGACGGTCACCGCTGATTGGCTACCGCGAGTGAATACGGCGCTCGAGTTGAAAACATTTAACTCGAGCGTTTGTCACGGCCCCCTTCAATCGCCTCAATCGCGCCGCGGAATTCGCGTCCACCGCTTCATGCTTGCCGTCGGAGCGAATTCGCGTCTGTCCGCGTCACTGCATTGACTTTACATGTAATCACGCCGCCCCCAAACATCGCATCACGTCCGGTGTGAACGCACCATAAACTCAACATGTACTGTAGGCCTACTAATAAATGTGGCACAAGTCCTGGCACAGTCATCCTCTGTGCCCAGGGCCCAGGAGTTCAAAACTTTTAATCTCAATCAGATCCGATCAGATTTTGAAATCCCATTTTTTGTGATCCAGGATCAGACAAATCGGCCAAATGTTGTCCCTGGAGTTCAAAGCAATTCAGGATAGGATCACCCTGATCCAGATTACGACTTTTCAAGATGACTATCCTGAATATCAGTGCTTTAATCCTACCGATCGCCATCTAGTGGATATGAAAAATAATACAAGGAAGACAAGAGACCACATTGCAGAGACATCTATTGTCCGCAATAGGCTACATGCACTAGGGTCTGAGACGTACTTCCGCCTTAGCCGTTATACTGCTCGGACGCTTCCGGGTTGCTTCTGGTCTGCGTAGCTGAGCGTCCACAAATGTTTTACTGTTTAAATCTGTGGTTTAAATATGAGTCGACGGAAGATTTTCAAAACGGAGCATTTGCAAAGACAAGTAAAGAACTACTCCGAACACTGCTGTGTCCCACTTTGTACGGCGTCAGCTAAATTCAACGGCGTCCTAAGTTTCCATGGCTTTCCGACCGAACTCGAGCTGCGAAGACAGTGGCTGGTTAAAATACGACGCGATAACTTTACAATCTCCTCTCACTCCAAGGTCTGCAGTCGTCACTTCGCTACGGATCAACTAATAGAGCCAAAAACCCTTGATGGCCGTAGGAGGCTTGTGAAAGGTGCTGTCCCAACTCTGTTTGAGTGGAATCACTTCACTGCTCAAACACCGCGGGCTAGTGTTTGGGAGAGAAGGGAGCGGCCCACTGAACCAGTCTCTCGGGAGGAGCAGGAAGAGCACATCGATGTCCGTGACCATGATTACTGCTCAACCCCTGAACCAGCTTCACTGGACATGTCCTCTCAAGCTACAGAAGACAACTCCAAAACAGTGGAGGATCTGCAGAAGCAACTGCAGGAGTTAAGAGTCCAGCGAGAGTTTTGCTTACAGCGGTTTTCTGGCTCCGACGACAACATCCGATTCTATACCAGGTAATGTTTTGGCTAAATTCTATCCAAGTTTTTGAGATGGGTTAGCTTATAAAGAATCCTCTTTACCTGCCGTTTGACTGCTGACTATTTGCATGCAGTGTTGGAATAAGTAGGCTACTCAACTTAACTGAAGTATAAGTACAAATACTATGGTTTGAAAATACTCCTGAACTGAACATGTAGAATCATAAATCATGTGTTTTCATAAGTAACTAGAAACTATGAAGGTTAACTAAATGTGGTGGAGTAAAACATACTAATACTAACAACATACTGATAATACTTTACTACAAGTGGAAATCTTCAAAACCTTACCAAAGTAAAAGTACATGTCAATATCCACTGCGTTTCTCCCAGTTGCACACTTAAGAATGAAGAGTAAAAGTAGTCATTCTGTGTAAAATGTTCCCTGTATGTTTTAGATTATTATTACTGCTGCTTTAATGTAGTTGTTACATGTTACTGCTGTATATTACTATACCTGCACCAAGTGCCTTCTTAATCAGTCTATTTGAATTGTAATGTATTATAGCAAACAAGAGGAAAGCATTAGCCCATGTGTTACAGTTAACGAGTCAATTAATGACTGACATGTGTCTTTTGTGTACAGATTCCCGAGCTATAACCACCTGATGGCCTTCTGGTTTTTGATTGAGCCTTCCATTTATAAAATGGTTCGTGTTACAAGAGCGATATCAGCTGCCAAGAGGAATGAAGAAGTGGTTACACACGCACGTCCATCAACGGTAGGCTACGTTTCTTTTAACA